CTCATGAAATGTTATGTGAAAGTCTGCCAGTAGGTGTCAGTGGAGATTTATCTGCTCCTGTTACCTGCTGCCAGTGGCAAGGTGGCCTCTGATTGGATGAAATGTAAAGTGACAAATCATTGTTGCTGCCACTGGTCTTTCCCTCCAGGTGTCAGATTTGGGTGGAATATGAACTGGTACTTTTAGTGTAGTGTCATACATGCAGAGCTGCACACATGCACAGTTCAACTCACCTGGTTACAGGAGATGCTGTGAGGCTTGAATCTCTGATGTGACCTCGATGGTGATGTCACTCCTGAGGTGTCACCGAGGTCACTCACAGCAGCCAGTATCCCATTGGCTCATTAGTCATCACGACCTTGTCTGTGTGCATATGTGTGGGCGTGCTTTGCTACTGTTGTAAGGACCAGTTTAGGTCTGAAACGACTGGTGAAAGGGCATTAAGGCTGCTCTTCACATATTTAGGGGGAAGTTTGATAATTAGGACTTAGTTTTTTCATTAAAGGAGGCCTGTTATTAATTACAGTATATTGATGGAGATACCAGGTAGCGAGAGTTCATATTCATGCACCTGTGTTTGCATTTTGAAAGTGTAGTGGTTAATACATTCACCTTACAAGCAGAAGATCCAGGTTGGAGGCTGGGAAGTACCTACAGTACAGAAATCCAGTGCTTCTCTGTAAATATAAGTAGCAGTGGATCCTCAAAGTGGAGCAAGAGTTAATTTGGCCTTTGGTGCTTTTTTTTTTAGCCTCTCCCCCAGTAAGCTAGCTTTGTTCTGATCGGCTACCCCTCATAATCGGTAGGTTTAAATAAGGGTGGAGTTTCTTAGTCTGAAATGAAAATATTAAATCCATCTTACATCATACACAGGCAAGACTTAAAATACACCTTTCAAAACCTTTCAAACTGGTTCTAGCATCCACCAACAGAACAGAAAATAAGGAAAATAACACAACAGACCCACTCTGAGGTGAGGTTAGGGTTAGGGAATGCATTATGTCAGTGATCCCAGTTACATTGGGAGTGAAAACAGATTACAGTCATGGATAACGGGAGACATAGCAAGCAGAGAAAATGTGCTGGTGTTTGTCTTGCCGGTCTTTCCAGAATTTATTCAACAAACACTCTTTCAGTCAGATTCATCAGACGCTAAACAGCGTTTAATTTTGGATCGAGAACTTTATTGTTGTAATTAACATAAAACCTCATTAGCATGAAAAGAAAAACTGCTAAAGGAGAATTAACAACAAGAATCAAATCACTGGAAAAGCAACGTCGAATAAAACTGTGGGAGCGGAAGACATCTTAGTCCTGTCTGTAACTACAGATGCAAAGTTTCAGTGGACCTTGAGATGGGACTGACCTGCCCAAACTCCTCCTTTTAGCTCTGCTTTGGTCAAAACCATCTGGAAAACATTTGGTTTTGACTTCAACAAGTAGATTCTCAGCCTTTCTGCAGGTTTTTTCTACTAAACCCCTTTTTTTTCCTTTTCCTGTGGTGTCCCACAGGGCTCAGACCTGGGTCCCCTCTTATTCATTTTATATCTGCTGTCTTTGGGACAGGAAATTTAATATTAGCACTTATTTGCTGCTGATATCCAGTTTTTCACCTGAGAAATGTTATTAAATGAAGATTTATAGTTTCTGTTGAAGAGCTCAGTAAATCTGCCCTAAATCACCTCAGTAGCTCCAACAGACGGTCCCCTGATTTGCTCATGTCCCTTCACTGGCTCACTAGATTACTTGGTGCCAGTTTAAAATCCTCAGCTTCACATACAGAGCATTGAACAGTCTTTGTCTGAATGTTTTTTTTTTCTTTTACCCACTTTCTAAATTTATCATTATCTCAGATTATTTTCTGTAAAGCACTTTTATAAACTACATAAATAAATATTGCTTGTGTTGTAGAGAGTATTGGTATTAATGTATGTTTGGGGGCCTTGCACCCCGGAACCTTCAGAGGTTTTTCAGGGTTTTCCCCATCAGAATGTTATCTGGGAAACAGGTTCCTGTATGTGTTGTGGCTAACTGTGGATGTTTCTGAAAGTGGTCAGTAAACGTCCTGAAAGTGGCCCCTGGGTTTCCAAGCATTATTATGTTGAGGTTATAACACCTTGCTTCCACTTTTATGGAGTACATTTATAGGAAGATGAATCCCCAGAGCTGTGAACCAGAAATCATCTTGTTTCCTGGCTTGCTCTGTGTTTAGACAGCCACGATGATGATGATGTTATCCAAGACTGACAGAAGCTGTAATTTGTGTGTCAGAACAACAGCATGAAGTAAAATGCTGGATGGATCTCATGCGTGCTGCATTGTGTGGTTTTTGGAAGTCAGCTCTGGTCATCAGCCCATCAAAAACTGTGATGTTTGTTGAATCGTGTGATTTCCACACAGAGAAATCACTTCTGTGTGATGAGTTATGTCTCTGGAACTAAAGCGATTTGAAGTAGACCTCTTCAATGTGTCACGTCAGCACTGAGGCGACACTAATGTCAGAGCAAACCATCCTGAGGGTGGTTGCTGTTTAATGCGCATAACTGGATGGAAAGGGGCAGCTCTATATAAGGACAAGTCCAAGAGGCCCCTGATCGCAGATCTGCTCCAAGCTCAGGGCAGAACCCCCACAAAGAACATATTTTCTTATTACATTAGCGATAACAAACCACCAGGGAGTAAAAGGCAGGTCAGATAGCAGTCAGAGACAAACTTTGATTATCCCATCACATCTCACGCACATCAGTCAACGCTCACCTTGTTTAAAGTCCACTGAATTAAGCTCTGTGAATGCTCCTTATTAATCCACCGTGCTTTGTTTGAGCAGACACTGCGTCCCTGTCCTTCTGTGCTTGCACTTTAGATTTCAAACATTTACATAGTGAGAACACTCTGTATTTAAGATGGCTCGTAAAGGGGAATGCTGCCCGTTTGATAGATATTTGCCCAGAGCTGCATGACTCTGATCTCTGTCTCCTTGGAGTAAAGAGTTCCTGTGTACATTTTTCCTGATAGCCTCATGAAAGGAGTGCCTACAAGGTTTTTAATCTCTGTTTTAAGGTTTTCGTTTTCCATCCAGAGCCTGTGTAGTTGTTTTAAAGGGGAATTCTGTGAGTGAGAGCGATGTGGAGAGTAACTCAACTGTTGTGTCCAAACAGACATCTGTCACATGGTGTGTAAGTGACAGACTTTCCACTCTCACTCACAGTCTCACCTACTGATTTCTGATTATGCAAAGCCAAATTTGTGTGACAACTACGTCATAATAACCCAGATATCCTAAAGAGGGCTTCAGGAATGCCTCCACAATCTTCAGCACTCTAAGCTTCACCAGCCAAGTTGTAAATTTTTAAGTTGTAAACACGCTCGTCTGCTGACAAATTGGCGTTGTTTACAGGAGGATCTGGAGACATGTTCTTATAAGGCTCTACACCAGCGCTTCGCAGTATTCCACTACTTTTATGGTGAAACTCGAGTAATGTGATTAAACGGCCTCTTGTTTCACAGGCTGCTTTCAGCCATCCTTCTTTTTCTCATTTGTCTTTCTCTTTCTTCGTAAACGAAGTAAGCTTTCCCACAGTTATTTTCAGGTTATGTTATTTCTGCCCTTTGGCTGAATTTCATACCGTGATTTACTCGTATTAAAACCCGTTTTTTTGATCCCCATGATAGAACAGAGAAAAACCCGACTCATAGTGGTCAAAACATTTATATTTCTTTTAATTCAATCATCTTACGGAAGAGAGAGACCCCTGCACAGCCCAAACGCCAGTTGCAGGATCTCTAACATTACAAGCTCAACATGTGTCTTATATGGTGTTATTTTGTTACCTCAGACGTCACACACGTCACACGTGACACACACAGTTTCATCACAAACAACTCCTTCTACTCAGTTCCTCTTTTCTGTGTCTGATTTATTAATATGCCTGTGCACTAAAACTTCCTGTGCAGCTTGGAATAACTTCCCCTTTCTGAGGTCTGTTGCCAGGGCAACCTGTCTGAACTTAGTTTCACTCTGTCTGTTGCTCATACTCTACAAAAAACATGCAGTTTCCTGTCAGCCTGTGACCTAGTCTCAAAGCTGGCCCTCTTTTATACATAATACAATATAATCAGCAAATAAGCATTACAATATATATTTAAATCTCAACACTCGGTACATCAATCGTACAGTTCAAGGTCACGTCGCTTTACATGACTCATCTGGTTACTAAAAATAGATGCAGATGAGAGGAGCACTCGCTCGTTTGTTGAAATGTAAATTCTATCTATTTTTGTAATTACATTTGTAACAAACATCAACATGGAAACAGTGAAACCAAAGAGCTTCACACAGATTAAGCAAACAAACACAAACCCCAAAGAAAGGAGGTCTGGAGGAGATGAATGGAGAGGTATGAAAAGAATAGGAGGTGGGGTCTTTCAGTACGTAAGCCCTCTCCACCTTTTGAGCCCAAAGTTTAAACGTGTTGTCTTTAGGACCCATAGATACATGCGACGGACAACTCGAGATAAAAGTGAGCAACTGATGTTGCCATCCAAAAACACATTTATGGCTTTTACAAACCAGACTGTTTCCACAAAGTAGTCATTCCCATAACATGTAATAAAAGGTGCCAGTTAAAGAGCATAGTTTACACTTGAAGGTTCATATAGCTTCCACAGCTGTAGATGGAAGTAAAAGTTAAACTGCACAGAGTTCTTACGAACACATCACCATGAGAATAGATGCTACAACTGCAAACCGTAACCACTCTTGTTTGTTTTACATCCGGTATAACTAGGATCAGGGAAGGGCAGGGGATACTGGATAAAAGAGACGCTTTGAAACGGAGCCAGAAATTAATAATTACCCACGATTAAATGAAGGATTGTGTATAAACATAGAGAGTTTGGATAAACATCACCACTTTAATGTCTGTGATGCGGAGGAACAGAAACAAGCACTGGAAGTTTAGCTGTATCACATCGATCAAACCATTGTAGGTCCTGAACAAGTTTGGATCTCACAGGGTTTGCATGTCGGTGTCTCTGATAAAATGCTTGGAAGAAGGTGCAAAATTTCAGCTTACCTGTATATACTTTGAAGACCTGAAAGTTTGAAAATATTCATAGTATGACAGTGAAATTTTGCATGCATAGAAAAAAAATCAGCTTGACGGGGTCTGGTGGGAACTTTTTAAAATTCAGTATATTTATAATGAATGACCCACTTCTGAGTGGGGCAAAGCCTCACCTCTGGAAAAATTCTCATGTAAATCCATCCTTAACTTTTTTTTTTGTTTTTTTTTGAGAAATGTCATCATGAAATAAATGCAAAGGCCTGTGTCCCCAATGGTGTTTTTTTTTTAAAGGTTTTTGGGTTCTGGGTCTTCCAGAGGAGCAACTTCTCTTGGCAGAGGCCTGTTTAGTCTCCAGTGATCAGATATTTTTATTCCCCTGTGGTCGTTTATCTCTCTGCTGTGAGGCGGATCCAGCAGCGCTGCTGTCCAGCTCTGAACTCTTTTGCTGATCGCTGAGATCAAGATAAAGACAGTTTGTCAGCTGTAATCAATCAGCTGCTGTTGTTTTGGCTGTGATTGATCCCTCAGCAGGTAACAACCTTTACTTTGCACTAAACGACAGCATGATTGATCTTTAGTAGTGCTGACTCATAGAGTGCATATACAGTAAGACGATAGCAAGGTGCCAAAAACCCCCCAAAAAAAACGAATACAAATCAGTGGGACAATTCTGAAATGTTAAGATGCTGGATGGTGCCGTCAATTGAAAGAGGAAATATCAGCCAGTCATGTTGCTACATTGATTCACAAGGGAATAGTAGGACTGTAACTTGTGCAGGGGAAAAAGCTGAAAAACCTTATTTTTCTGTATGTACATGGCTTTAATTTAGTTTATTTCTGTACCACATTTAAAAGAACCTCAGCTGACCAAAATGCTGCACAGGCTGTACAAAATACATACATACATTATACACAACAGTCATAAGCAGACTATGAATATACCCAAAAATACACAATAAAAACCACAAACCTGTAAAAGGTCTCTTAAGTAGGGTGGCGCCAAACCAGCGAGACTCTTTAAAAACATGAACATGTGAAGATGCAACCAATGGCATTTCATTCCTGTCTAAAGACGAGCTGCTGGATTTTGTACAGGCTGCAGTAATAACAGATCCATGCCGACATTCAAAGAATTACATCATATAATTGTCAGGTAAAAAACGTGTGAAGATTTGCTTATAGGAAGACTTTGGTGTTGCTACGCTGGTTTCTCTACACCACCAAATTGTTTTTGTACCAATTTGGACGAGAGGTTGGAGTGCCATGTGAATTATGTGAGATTAAATTTATATCTGTTATTCAAACATGATCCTTTATATATAGAATCTTCAGACACTGAAAAAAAGGTTGGCCCTTATTAAACTGTATTGTGACACCAGTTCTGTGGTTTAATTAATAATCACTGGTGGTTAGTTAACAACGAATGTTGGTCTGCGTTACATCGACTCCCCGACACATCACAGGATGTTGGCATCGGTTAAATGTCACACAGATTTAAACTATTTTTATTGATGAAAAGCCACGAGTGTAATCATAAAGCCCACATTCATAAAGTCAGGATTGTGGGTTGTATTAATACACTGGTATAGTGAGAGCAGAAGAACTGTGTACACAGAGTCAAACCCAAACTCATTAAGCCAGATCCCTGAATTTATCAATGGGGGTCTTGTAATTTGGGGAGTCCACTGTTAAAGGTTTCCATCATGATAATGGAGCGAGTGGGTCCTCAAGTTAAATAATCCTGATTTTGAGGGTTTGTGTATCGCTTCCTGTTTTTATATCTTTTTTTTATTGTTGCTGTCCACATAAATTACAGTTTTGTATGTTGTGGATCGACGCATTCTCACACGTCGTGTCATTTTTGGCGTTGGCACTTTGACAGAGCTACTGTGGAAGTACTGGCCGCCAAGAGGTGACGATCCTGACAAAGTCCGCATTAAGAGGTTGGAGTGATGGCAGTCGCATTATGCCGTAATCTTTTTAACTTTGGATGTCAGAGCTGGGAGTGATGTCACACCCAACTTGAACATGTTCCAGTAAAGCTTTCTCCGTGCCAAGCTAGAGCCATTCAACAATTCATCAACAAAGTCAGCGTTGGTTTGGCTTCTCCAACTTTTTGAGTAGAATGTCAGATTTTAAGAAGTGATCCAGTTGTAAATTCGGACTGAGACCTCAGGATTTCTGATATCCGATTTTAAACGGAACACAGCAGACTGGACTCTGTGGTGTTTTGCACTTGATGTTGCTTTTTTAATTGATCAGTTGATGATCAAGCTCAGGTAATAAAAACTAACCAGTTAGAGTTGAGAAAAGATTGTAGTTTTGGGTAAAATCCACCCCTGTAAGAGCCATTTACTCCTTCCTTTGTCTAATTACACACAGTTCACAAAGTGAGTGAGAGGCGAGAGCGTTGAAGCCTGTGAAGCCTGAACGTTACAACAGCAAACGCCATAACCCGCCACTAACAGACACTCGGCATGTGGATGAACTGAGATACACCAGCAGCTTTTACACAACAAACATTTTGATGTGTAGTTTTTTTTTCTTTTTTTGGATTGAGCAATGTTTTCTTTAAACGTCTAACACTGTTATTGCAGATATATATTTGACCTTCAAAATAAAAGCTTCCAATTGACAGGTACTTCAGTTATAATGAACAGTCAGGTAGTGTAATTTTCCTGCCTATCTGCAGGGCCATATGCATTCAGGTATGCAAGGGGATGTTGTTTCCAAGGCAACCTTATAATATAACACACACACACACCTTACTGTGCTGGAAATGTCCTCTGGCCAACACTGCTCATTAGCCTTCACCTGTCTCCCTGCTGGGAGCTGCATGAGTTAAACACACACACACACACACACACACACACACTTTCTTGACAGGTTAACCTGGTTTACTTTTTTCAGCCAATTTTCATCTGAGTCTCCAGCTTTCTGTAGAAGTGACGGTCATTAATGACACTGATCCCTCCTTTTTTAAATTTTTTTTAAATTTTACTCTATTCTATCATATGAATTATTTTATTTCTCTAATTATTTTAAAACGTGTTCTCTTATACCTGTAGGGCGTGGGTCTCTCAGTTCACGGACGGTTTCGTGTGGCCACTGAGAAGACGCTGTTTGCGATGCCAGAGACTGCCATTGGTAAGCCTGCGATCTGCCTGATTGAGGGAGTGCTCAGTGGCAAGGGTTGGCCCACATCAGTGGGAGTGTATATCTAGAATATTAATTATGTAGGAGCAATGATTTCAAGCTGGACCCGGTTCACATACAAGGTCTGTCTGCATTTGAAGCTGGGGAGCCAAACACGAGCAGAAGAGTGATTTGCATTCAGTGCAGTTTGCTGATGACCTCATTCCTAAATAAGTGTTGAAAATGAACTGCTAAAATGGGCAGGGTGGAAAAAGTGAGTCCAGCGTTTAAGCCTTTAATCTTCAGCAATGGTACAAATCACAAAAAGACCTTTTCAGACAGTTTGGAAAACAGAAGCTCAGTAATCTAAAAATAGGAATATTTAGTCTTTATAACTTTTTAAGGCGGTAGATAAGATGATGATGATGTCACCAATTGTTTTTGGGCTGCAGTTTATCTGCTGCCATTTTGTCTTTTTGGAGCCAAAAGTAATTCAACATGGACAAGAGGGTGAAGTGCTGAGCTAACAGCAGAATAAACAAGCGGGGCATATTCACTGTCACCATCTTGAGCGGTGTGGGTCTGCATGCTCATTGGCCAGCGACTTGTGATTGACAGGTTGTTAGCCAATGAAAATACTCTGGGTAATCTTCCCTTCTGACCATAATTTGCAAAATTAACTTCAAACTTTGTTCAGTTTGACCTGAAACTAGTGACTGAACCCATAAATCAGGAGGAAAGGACATGGAGTAAGAGAGCCGGGTGCTGCCCCCTGCTGGCCATTAGAAAGAATGAACATTTTGAATTGCTAGCTGATTAGCTGCCTCCATCCATGAACTGTATAGGTGCAACACAGAGGTATGATAAATGCTAACAGACTAATAAAATAATTTACCTTAAATGCAAAATTCTTGGATTTGTTCCTTTCTATTATTATTGCTGTAATGCTGTTGATGTCGCATCTCAGGTCCTGTTCAGGGATTAGAACAGATGATAAGAAGCCTAACAGACAGCAATCAGGTGTGCCACCTGTCAAGCAAAGGAAGCATGAATTATAATTATTTAAAAGGAATCACCCTCGTACATGTTGTTCTACCAGGCGGTAACATGTTGTTTTATGCTCCCTTTAAACGTGGGGGTCTATGAGGAGTGGGTCACTTTTGTAGAGAGCCTCAAGTGGGCATTAGAGGAACTGCAGCGTTTGGTGGCGCTTCTTTTTCTAAGCCAACTAAAAAAACTTGAAAATTATTCATAGGAGACTGAAGCTGCAGTGTTATAGTGTATTTTAAATTGGAAGTAGTTCAGGAACACTTAAATGGGTTGCTGTGGTTGCTTAGTTGGACTTGCTAAATACAGTAGTGGTAAGTGTGTGGACTCGTTGGACAGCACATCACTTTCTGTGTGTAAAAAAAGATTGATATAGAAGAGTCGAGCCCACTGAGAGGTGATCCAGCGGTGCAGCTGTCGTCAGTAACGGCTGCTTTTCCCATATATGATTCATCTTTTCCTCCTCCTGCTCTCCATCTTTTCCTGGAAGACGTATATGTCAGTGATAGAAAAGCAGGCTGTATGTTGTTCTACTCCTGTTGCTGCCTTCTGACACACAAACTTGTTTTTTTTAATTTATCTGAGCCTCCAGGGAGATAGGGAAACAAACACACTGCATCACCCAGAAGGGAAGAGACAAATCCAGGACTTCAAACAGTCACAGAGCAGGAAAGGCCAATGCTCTGCAGGTGGATGTCAGGAGTTTACTAAACTTCTTGACTAAACTTTCTAAAAACATGTTTTATGAAATGCTACATTAAATTTAGCCACTCTAGCAAAACTGAGAAAACTTGTGTCCTCCGTCTATACATCCATGAACTTTCTCTGTGGTCTTCTTTTTCTCTTCCTGCCTGGCAGCTCCATATTATCCACTATCCTTCCTCTGCACATGTCCAAACCATCTCAGCCCAACCTGAGCTGTCCCTCTGATGTGCTCATTTCTAATCCAGTTCATCCTAGTAACTAGAGCAGGGCGATATGGCCAAAAATATTTATCACGATATATATTTGAAAATTTGCGATAACGATATAACTGACGATATAATTGATGCGAGACAAAATACAACTCCACAACATTACTAGCGCAAAACAACCTTCCATTTATTTTCACTTAAACAAGAAGCTGGTTTTTATGTACATTAAAGCTTTATAAAAATGTAACAGTGCAAATGCAAATTCCTTGCTGAAAGTTTAACCAAAAGGCATTTCCAGTAGAAATGGGCTGACATATCCTGAGCATAACCATGTATAATATCCACTGAAGTTAAAAAGAGGTGCTTTGCAACATTAAACTGCAGTGTGCAGTACGCATTTTTCGGACCATAAGGTGCACAGGATTATAAGGCACATTAAGCGAAACAAAGCAGTCAGATAAATCAAACTTTATTAAACTCATTCTTCTTGCTTCCTCCACTTCTGTACCATCGATTCATTAATGCAAATTGATGAGGCGACTTTTGTTGTGATTTGGCACTATATAAATAAAATTGAATTGAATTGAATTCTCTGGCAGCTGCTCTATTCCCATGTTGTTGCAGTATATTAATGACTAACCTTGTATTGTGGATAGATTATCTCAGTTGTTCTCCTGGCTGAAGTTTGGTCTGTTTACAGCATCCTGCCATGCGATTGCATTTGTCTGTAACTATCAGGAACTTTAACGTTAACTTTTATAAGTGGAAAAGTGTTAGTGTTCATCCTCCAGCTTCACTGTTTATGTTATGCTAACATAGATGTGTCGCTAGCGATCACGTAGCACATCATTATATACCAGCTAGCCCAACTTCAGTAACCCTACAAACGTCACTGCTGTTTAGTTTCCTGTCTTCATTTTTTTTTTCAGAAATCTCTCAGTCAGAACATGCAATATCATGCTTAGGTAACTAGCGAAACTAGCGAGCTAACTTCCGCTAGCTTCCTGCTAACTTTTAACTCCGTAATGTAATAAATTTTGTTTTCATGGATGCCTGGAAGTTAAAATTCATAGTTACACCTGACAAAGCAGCAATGCTGATCGTTTTATTAAAGATGAAAGAATTTACACAGTTTTTAACTCTCAGTGATGCTGCAGTGTTCGTTTGACCTGAAGAGACGGAGTTTAGGACCCAGATTACTCCCAGACTTAAGAGCATCTTAGTCCAACAAATACGACAATAACGACGGCCGCTTGCATGTTCTGCAAAAAAATGTGCTTTGTCGTGTATCTGACAGACAAACACCAAACCAGTTCCACATCACTGAAGTTGCACCATTTTTACAAACCAATTCTGGTTCATCTGTTTTACTCAACAATCGGCCATGTGCGTATGAAAACAAAGGCACTGCGCATGCGCGTTTTACTCATTCTATCGCGATATTTCATCTTCCTATTCTCATTCCCATTCCCATTCTCCTTTTTGACTCCAGTAGGTGTCAAACAAAATTATCATATTTTATCCAGCATGAGCTGAAACTAGTGAAACTTTCAGTTTTCTCATCGACTTGTATACAACCAGAGGCCTTTTTGCCTTCTGCTGGCCATTAGAAAGAGTGCAGGTTTAACGTATTCCTACATCCATCTTTTTACAGTCTTTGGAAGCAAACATAAAAATCACATCCTTTGAATCCTTCGGCAAAAATCATCTCTCAGTGTGTTAGCAGCTGAAGAGTTGTAGAAGGTCAAATTCTTTAATTATTTCATGCATGTTTGAAGATAATAGATTACACTGTCCTGATATGGAGCCAGAAAATGATCTGATCCAACTAAAAAGTGCTACATTAACCTGTTAGATCTTTTAAAGCATCATAGCTGAACCATGTAGGACATCTTTGTCTGTTGCAGTATGAGGCAGGTCCTCCAGTGAAAAAGGCCACTGAGTCACTAAACTTGTAGGTTCCTCTCTCGCTAATTGTCTCTAGTGGACAGATGGTCATCTGCTGAGGTGCTGAGGAGATTAGTAACAAATCTGTGACAACAAATGCAGTCGACATTGTACCGTGAACTAGCATGTTGTCAATGAAATCCACTGGGATTACCACAGCTCTGTTGCTGTGAATGCATATAAGCTGTTTCCAGAGTGATATGACTGTAAATGTATTTGTTTCAGTGGGTTTGTGTTGCAGTGATCGAACAGTTAATGTCGTCAGTGTCTTCATAAAGGTTCTCAGGGTGTTTTGTAACATTCTGTGCAGGTTTTATTACGTTGGTCCTGGAGTCAGTGGATTAGGAAAGGGCTTTGCAGCGTGGGCACTGCTCATTTTTTCCGAGTCTGTTCAGGTTCTGATAAATTGATTGCGTGCTCTCGCTCCCTCATACGTGCAAACTTCCAAGGACGCTCAAGCCATTCTTCATTTGACACCCACACATACAAACATAAGCATGTCAGGCTTATTATTCTGAAGTACTCTGAGCTCTGACTTTATAATAAATCTTCTGCTGATGTGTAGCGCTGTGGAGTCGGTCTGGTGTCTGGAGCGAGGTGCAGGGTGAAGATTATGTTGTTAGCGGACAGGAAATGAGCGTAGCAGCAAGAAAAAGTAGGAGATTCCCGCCGATGTGCTCTGATATTTGTCTGGGGCTTTGTCAGAGGCTAGGCTAAAGTAAGGAGTGGGAGGACATGGGCCAGTAATTCAATCGTCCATGCTCAGGATTGGCCATAATGGGGCAAAGATGTTCTACACTGGATGTGATCTGTTTTAAAGTGTCAGTTCTTCATTTGGCGAGCTCTCTTGCACATGAATTGGCACACAGAATAATTTGATTTTAACCTCACCGTTAAGTTTCTTGAGTCTCCTGCTAGCTTTGAATCTCTCCCATCACTTTGGCGAGGACAAGCAGAAAATCTCGCCTAATCCCCCTCCCAGCTGCCATGGTCATAACATTGTCACGATTGTTTTTACTAAAAGCTCTCGACTTGCAGGTCACCGCATGGCCATTATCAGCACGTCCCCTGGGTAATCAGGAACTTCACACCGCGTGATTTTTTTTTCCCATCAGGGACGAGCTTTTTCTGCCTTTTTCACTGGAATGCAGCTGCCTTATAGACCCCACAAGCTTATTTTAGACCTGATCCTGGGGAGGAATCCTCTCAAGAGCTTCTCGTCTGTGCTGGTTTACTTTAACCAGAGTCGCACTGTGGACTGAATCTTGCTTTTTCCACTGTGGTATTCCAGAGTTAGACGACAGGGTTTCAAACGCTGCAGGAGCTTTGAACATAGTGCCAGTAAACTCTGAAAATGTTTGAGATGTAGTTCTCATATTAGGGGCACATTTACTGATGTAGAATTAAAGGCTATGCTGTAACAACAGGATGTGTCCACTTATTAAAATTTTGGAGTCTGGATATGATTGTTCGATGGATAAAATGGTCTGTTGCAGTCTAATTGAATTAATCTCATTAACCTTTAAGTCATCACGACATCCTCCATCTGTGTGAAGGGGAAAAAATGGTTAGACATGAGGAACAGAGCCGAACTATGAAAAAGTGAGTTCTTTTTATTACCCCCAAAATTATGATAAACAAGTCATAGCAAAGATAAACAAGCAATAACGAGGCAATAACTGCGTGTTGTCTCAGTCCCACCAAATCGTTGGCAAAAAGCAGAGAAGATGTGTTTCTGTTGTTTTTAAAATGTACTTATCGTATTTTCACGTAACATGACATGTAATCAAAAGCGGGTGAACACGAGGCTCCATATGAACCTGTAAATGCACTGGTTCACAAACATTGAAGCATCACATGGGCGTGATTTAGCTGTAGCTGTCAGTGCCTGAGATTACTTAATTATTCCCCCAGGAAAACTTGTGTCTTTGTATTAATAGCATCTCTAGCAGTACTTACATCATATCTTTATATCTACACACACAAGCACGCCGTAACCCCCGTTACCCCCCGCGAGGCGGGATTAACAGATTTAACTCGGCCCTGCCAGCCTTCTGAACAACAGCCATAATCTGCCACATTTATAATATTACATTTTCAGCCATGAATCAGGTCAGCTTATCTAATCCCCCCCCCTCTCGCCACACTACAGATCCCGCTGTAAGCACTGGACTGTTGCGTCCTGTCAGAAATATTGAAATCAAATGGAAACATTATTGAAAGGACAGAACGAACGGATTAAATCTGCATTAAATCTGTGATGATGATCATTAATTCTCCTAAGCTGCATATTTGGCCTTTTGTAGTGTGCCAGTGGCCTTTTGCTGGAATACCACCGTGTGTAAATTGTCTTAGAGTGAGGGGGGATGATATTTTAGGACAAAACCATTGATTATTCTCAGGGAAAAGTCATTATAATAAAAACCCTTGCTTGGCTTGTGTAAGTCACTGATTAATAGGCATGCTGCTTTCATGAAAAACCTGTGCAAACTGTTATTAACTCTGCTTTTCATTTTATTTTGAAAGGGCTTTTCCCTGATGTGGGAGGTGGCTATTTTCTGCCGAGGCTCCAGGGGAAGTTGGGATTGTTTCTTGCCTTAACGGGCTTCCGACTTAAAGGACGGGATGTGCAGAGAGCCGGGGTTGCCACTCACTTTGTGGAGTCTAAGAAGGTACCGTGTGAGCTTTCAGTTCAGGTGTTGGAAGTGCGGGGGTGAGGTCAGAGCTGCACTGGAAAGCCAGATGCTGATTCACTGGAGGCCTCACTCTTGTTTACGGTGCCAGCATTCACCGGCCGGCGCAGAGGCCAGTTGTGTTTTTCTTGCTGTTGGCATGAGGTCAGAGCGGTGGGCGGCAGGTTGTTTATGACTCTAACCTTGGTTTTGGCAGAAACAAACACATCTCACCTCAGTGGAAGTTTACCAACAAGACAAAGGGTTAGATAAGACAGGAGAGAGGACTCGGAGGTAATGAGCTGATGCAAGAAGAGCCAAAATACACAGATTCTGAATCTGCGTAAATAAAACAAGAGGAATCTGCACAAAGTGTTAGCAATGAGCTGACATGAACAAGGGGAAAGAAACAAGATTATCGGTGGGGTCTGATAGTCAAATTTCATTAAGAGGGTAGCTTACCGATTGAAGTGTTAGATTGATTTTTCCATTTTACTTTCAGGTACTGTTTTAGCATCTGTTTTTATTTATAGTTTAGACTTTATTGCATTGGTGACTTCCAGATTAAGTATCATCTGAGTTATTTGAGGTCGGCCTGATGAAGGCCTCAGTGTAAGTTCATCAGTGTAGTGAAGGAGGACATTCAGAAGGTTTATGGGACAGAGGAGGATGCTTGGGATAGGATGAGGTGGAAGCAGATGACCTGCTGTGAAGCAAAGGGAGCAGCTGAAAGAAGAAGCTGAGAGACTGCAGGAAGAGGCGGTGAAGATGAGGGCAGGACAGGCAATCGCAAAGAAGGAAAAACGGAGAAAGTAAAGACAAAGCAATACACGCAAAAAAATGTCAAAGTCAAACAGGAAGCGATCAAGGACGACTGAGATGGAGAAACTAGAAACAGAGTTAACATAACCTCAATTTTTCATTAGTCGGGAATAACAATCCTCACATTCTGTTTATTTATTAGACGATTAAACTATGTTTAGTGAATGTGCTGACACGTCAGACTTCTACACATCATAAACGACACATCAGCTGCAGACTGACTTTTTCCGTTTGGATTAAACAGATCCCAGACCTGCAGAAGGAGCTCGTGGACTTGAAGTCTCCCTCTGCTGAAGATGTCTCCAGAGTGCTAGACTCCTACCAGAGCCAGGTTAGAAGCCAAGAAGCCAGTCATTTACACAAACATGTGGCTTAGACTCTAGCTGTATATTTTCATTATTGCATCTCACTCTTTGTTTCTGCTCTTTGTCCACAGAGCAGTCTGGATGCTGAGAAGCCTTTCATCTTGAAAAAGCACGTCTCTGATATAGACAGGTGGGCCATGACTTTCTTCCTAAATATACTTAAACTAGGTTCAGGAGGTGAGCTGGAGTGTGTTTTTGTTGGTGACAGATAAAGAAAATCTACAGAAACACTGTATTTAGTCAGAAATGTATTCCTGAAATCGGCTTTCAGGGCTCCATATGTACTCTTATATGCACTCTTTCAGTGCTGGTTTTAATCTCTTTGTGCTCTGTTTTTAAAGACTATCAGCCTTTTATTTATTTTCAGTCTCTTGTCCTTTTAAATCCTGTCAGGCTCTTCAGCAGCAGCAGTGTGGAGGGCATTGTGAAGAACCTGAAGACCGACGGCTCCGAGTTTGCTAAGAAACAAACTGAGGTGCGTTGCTCCTCTGCGGCTCAGTTCAAGTAGAGTGCGGTTCAGCTGCTTCTGTTCCAACAGTCAGCTGTCTTTAAAACATGAACTCTTACAGAGGCTGATGGTGAACACCACCCTCCGATAAACCCACAGACAGAGCTGGAATGAAGCCGGGGTGTTATTTGGCTCCGCTGTGCATTTTGGTAATTAGTAGTTACCTGAGAATGAGTACTTAATGAGGTTAATCACCGTGCCCTGCTGGCTGGAGCTAAAGACACTTTAGTGGGATTTCAGAGTGAATTATCGTGGCTTCATTCACTAAAATTCCCTCAAACAGCCTAAAAAGCGATGTCCCACTTCACTCGAGATTAAACGAGTCACATGACCCTCCCTCCCTCACCTACCACACCCCGCTTCTTAAATCTGTTCACCAGGAAAGTCATGAGCTTGATCTTCTCACCTTCAGCAAGACCAAAGCAAACAAACAAGAAAAAAACAGTTTTTATTAATGAATCTTTATTTACATGTTGAAATAATTGTGATGTGATTTTTGTTTCTGGATGTAAGGATGTTCTCTGAATGCTGTCGTGTGAGAAGGAAGTAGAGTCTGGACATGGGCACGAGGAAAGAGCTTGGTTTTTTTTGGCATTTCGATGATGAGCTGATGATCTTTTTAAAAGTTACCTTCTCTCTTTAGGCTGTCACAGACTAAATCCTGGCATTATTCAGAGGTTTATATGTGTATAAGTAACAGCTGGGGCTGTTAGAATCCACAGAAGGAACGATTTGTCCTAGATTGTGACTGTTCTGATATTATGAAGCCAAATCTGAGTAAAACAAACAAACGGTTTCTCTTCCTCTAGACTCTGTCCAAAATGTCTCCCACGTCCCTGAAGATCACCCTCAAGCAGCTGCAGGCGGGCGCAGCTCTGAGCCTGCAGGACGTGCTGGTGATGGAGTATCGACTGAGCCAGGCCTGCATGGTAAAAACCATCACGGTGAAGTCTGAAACCCAAGGTGGTTTCACATTTCAGTTCTGATGATGTGTTTCAGGGAGTGATAAGGCATTGTTTGTGTTGTGTTGCAGAGGGGCTGTGATTTCTATGAAGGCGTTCGAGCCGGTAAGTCACTGCAGTACAGGGGACACAAAAGCAGAAGAGGATGGGTATGAAACTTAGTCTTGTAACTTATTTTTACATAGATTTACCAAACATAATAAACACTGTAGGATCAGTAAACTAAAGTAAAATGAAAATGATAAAGAGATTAAAACGTTACCTGATTTAAACCGTGCCGATCTCCTCTTTGAGGTCGTCTCCTGGTGCATCTCCTCCAGCTCAGCTGAAGGCGCTTAGCTCATGCACATATGCACAAAGGCAAATTATGAGCTTCAGGGGGAGATCTGAAAAATCAGGCCTGCTGGAAGAGGTCCTGAGGTACACACGAAGACAACCTTGAAGGGGAGATCAGCCTTTTTAAAATAAGCTTTGGTTTTTTGGTTCAGATTTAAAGTATATACTGGGACTAGCAAGGATTCTGAGCAGTGATTATTATAATCACGGATCACTCTGCAGAAGTATATGCTCGCCTCTAAAGGTTGTGGGTTAGTTATTGTTCCTCTTAGCATCACTAAACTCGATGTTCTGTGTTTTTAGTGCTAGTTGACAAAGACCAGAATCCCAAGTGGAACCCATCAACACTGGAGGAGGTGTCCGACCAGATGGTGGAGCAGTGTTTTTCCTCCTTGGGTGAGAAGGACCTGATTTTGTGAAGTTGGTCAGAAGCTGCCTCCCAACTTCAAACAACACACCGCTAAGCCTTCTCTAACCGGCCACTTCCTGTCCCCCCCATCCTTTTATGGAGGAGCGTGCCGCTGTGGATGGAAGCGTGTCAGCCCTTGTTCATAAACCGTGTTATTGCTGTAGAATAAGTAGTTGTTCTGGTGATTCTTTACAGAAAAATCACGACTATGTCTTCACAGCTGAGTCATGCTCACAGGCAGAAGAGGGAGCAGGCAGTTTGGTGCACTGTTGCTCTGCAGTGGAGTCTTTCTGCATAGTTTGTACAGTTGTAATGTTACAGTGCTGCATGTTAAAGGATCAGAACAGCAGTGCTACATTAGCACAAGGACACGGGAGGGGATAATGATCTCACCACTGAGTGCTTCACTACATTTCCTGTGGATGTTTGTTGATGTGACACGGAGCAGTATCATCTGTAGTCCTGCAGCGCGGTCACGGCTTCTGATACAGATCATATATCGTCTCAGCTTCCTGTTTCCTGTTCCCTTTTTTTTTTTTCTCTCCAATGTTTAATCTCATACAGGCCGCAGCATTTAAAACCCCTCAACGCTGGATAACATTGATCATCTTGTTACGGTGCGGTGCTGGGAAACCTTTGATGTTGCTCTGACAAGGTGCAGCTTCCTAAACGTTTTCGCATTGATCAAATTTGTTGGAAAAAGCTCAGTCCACAGAGACCCTAAACAAAGACTGTATATTAAAGATGGGCATACCCACCATGACATCATGCACTGGTTTGCACAGTCCTCTTTTTGAAACCTTAATACTGCGCTTTTCTATCAAGTTTACTGCCATTTATAAAGACTTAAAACTAGTGATTTTAACCCATGTCTTGTTAAGGAAAATCTTTTGATTTTGTAAATCAATCGTGCAGTTGATTTTTGGTTTTTTTTTCCCTCATGAACATCTATCTTTAAAAAAAGAAGAAGACATGTTTGTCACCATAGGAGTCGCCCCCTTGTGGGCATTAAAAAAGGTTAAAATGTCAAGGTGCTTCGGCTTAAGTTTTTAACTTCAGAAGCTAAGCCCATCTTTATATACAGTCTATGGCCCCACCTGGCAACCCACTGGACCCAATGGGCCATTCTAACACCGGTCACAGGAGTTGAATCCTCTGATAAGTCAGAGCTGATATGAGTACAGTCCTTCTGGAATCAAGTCTCCCCACTTGTAGGTGAGATATGAGCATTTATTTTGAAGCATTATTTCAATTTTTTTTAATGTTAATGGTTACCAAGACTCATCAGTCAAGTCTGATTAACATCCTAAAGCAAAAACCTTTCCCTCCCACTATTAATTACACATTTACTAATATCTTCACTGCTCTGGAATATCCCTAAATTCTCTGGTACTGGAAAAATGGTTTTAATGTTGTGGCAGATCAGTGTACGTGCTACCTGTAGTTGTTTTTAGGTATAACAGGGAATTAATAAAGTGTTCTAACACAAATCCAAACAATACTTCGAAGACAAACCTATAAATTACTGCTGATATTGAATGTATCTGCATAATTTAGCAAAGCAAATCTGGTTTTAGTCGTCTGAAATGCATGTTTTGTTTTTTCTAATAATTTTCCCGATGTTTGTTCAGAGGAAATCAAATCACTTCCCTCATCATTAGGTCTCTGCAGCTGCATTATTTATGAAACAACCAGAGTCAGATTCAGTGCTGGAACCGAGGGCAATAAAAGAGCTGGTCACATGAAATTCTGTGTGTTTTTTACTGGGTGTGTTTAAAGGAACTGATTGTTGAGGACGGTATTTTTTATGACCTAAAATGTTCTTGTGTAACTTTACAAAGTGCCTTAGTTATCAGCATGAGAGCACTAAGCTGCTGCTCAGATATAAACTCTCCAAAGTAAACACGTTTATTTCACGTCAAGTGCTCTGTTCTGTTTGCATCACTGCCAGGAAATCCTGCTTCGGTAGCACAGGCTGGCACCTGGGAATGATAATGCTTTCCGACTGAATTGTCCCCATCGAGCTGCATAGACTCAAACAATTTTTAAATCAGGCTTCAGATTATTGTTTAAATCCCAGACTGCAGCGTGGGACACCTCATGTCTGTTTTAATCTTCTCTACCTGCCTCACATTCGCACAGTCTGAGCCCATAAATCCTGCCTAAGAAATGAGTATCAAGGCTTTGACTCATTCATCAGTGCAGTCTGCAGCTCATCAAGCAGACAGGACGACCTCCAGTGCTGAGTGTTCGCTCTGGACGGGCAGATGAACTGTGATTTACGTCTATTTACATCTTGCTCTTCAGACAAAAGCTGGCCGGAATTCATTTCTGAACATTTGTCCCTCGGCCTGCTGATGGGCGTTTTTGTTTGGCAGGAATTTTAAAGTCATCGTGAACCACAAATATCTCAAAATTGCATCTCCTCTTATTAAACAGCCACAGAAACACTTCAATGACAGAAGGCATGAGTCTGATTTATTGGCATCAGTTTTACACACACTGTATGTACAGTTTGCAAATCAAAGTCTTTTATCATAAAGGAAGATGCACAAAGTCACTCATTTCAGGTTATTTCATGACAGATTATTCATGATGCATGTGGTTTTAGTCATCGTTCCCCGGGCTGCTTGTGTTTCGCTAGACTTCTCTACCTATTTTTTATTCTGTGGGTCCCTCAGACTGCTGTAGAAAGCTGGTACATTAGAGAGATTGCACCAATGAGATCATACTGACCTCAGAGCTGAGCATTAACTAATCAGCTTGGCTGGTGTCAAGTCAGTGGCACATTTCTAAAACACGTTCAAATACTAATTTTAAACAAAACTTGAGAGACGGTGGACAAATTCAGGAGTAATGAGAGAAAGCCAGAAAAAAAAGATTTTAAGTAAAGGAGGCGCAACATTATATTTTCATTCTCAGAAACTTGCAGAGCTGTTGGGTCTAGCATTTCATCTGTTTGCTTTATTTGTAACAAATCAATGGAGTTCCTTTGTGTTGGGGACTGTGGAGTCCAGCAGGATTCAAATACAAGAAAAAATTACATTTTAAAGCCACAAAATGCGATTATGTGCACCGATTTTGTATATTTTTGTGTGCACCATCAACACATCATAGCGCTTTTTCTACCTTGAAGCCAGGCTGCAAAGCACAGGGGACCCCTGACTTTTCATAGCATGTATTGTGTGCATACTTGGTTATATTTATTATGTAGTAGGAAATACTTTAAAAAAAATCTTTATTTAAACAGGAAATTAAACATTATAGACAAATGCCCAAGAGGCAGAATTTATTTGTCTTTGAATGATTTTTGATGGTGGGAAAAACCAGAACTTGCAGATAAGATCCACAGAGAAGAGCCTGTAATTGTTTTCTGTTGATTGGAGGAATCCCTCTCTGTGCACCAAGAGCTTCTGGTTTACAAATCCGGTACTGATTGATCATCACTTATGTAGCAGGTTTATCAGAGAAACCCATGTCTTGTATTTTTTTCTGCTAAATTCAGTATAAATATGATAACAATGAGGGCATCCAGGTGTTTCTGGCTATGTCGATGCTGATTTAAAGGTAATTGGCAGTATTAGCTACCCCTGGACCCGGTGTGTTCAGCTATAAGTTCCCTCTTCTTGGGTGTCTCCTTCTTTTACTTTAAGACTGCTTACCCTATTGAAAAATACATTTACTTCATTACATTTACATAAGTTCCTTATGTTTTTAAGAAAAAAACATCGTCTTGCTTATTCATCTCTCAAAATGGGAAAAAAGTCCCATCTATGGCCATTAAAGTGCTCCATACTGAACTAGTTGTTAATTAAAGATTAATATTTGTAATATTTGAACACTGAACAGCAGAAGGAGCTTCTTTAAACACAAAAAATTGCATCAAGAAAATGATAACGCTTCGCTCCAGCATTGATTTGAACTCAACGACAGGGCACTACAGCCCTTCAGACTCTGCATCTCGGAGAATCTGTCCTTAGTGTGAGTAAAGCCTGTCTGTGGGAACACCTGCTGGTGTCAGATAGCGTAAAATGAGTGACCTTTAAAACCATGAATCACTTTTCCCCAAAAGGAAGCATCACCTGGAAAACAGATGTTTGGATGAAGACGGATATTCACGCTGGGTCTGAGATTTTCTTTTCTCAATTCTGTGAAAGGTGCAACTCGACGCTTTTCTTTTGTATGACCTGCAGACCCCACATTTATAAATGTGGAAACACGGGAAATGCAGTCAAACCTGACATCAATATTTCTGGCAGTATCTTTAAGAAACAGAATTGGAGGCAGAAATGAAAACTATGACTCAGCCTCTCCAGCGTGAGAACTTTAAAGAAAATGTGCATCTTGACTTGCATTAACAGCTCAAACTCTGACTATCAGGCCCTGCTCGTGTTTGTGTGTTTTTCTAAGCCAGCCTTTCATTCACAGAAAGCAGTTTTTTAGGAAAACAGTCAGATTAGCCTTTTCTCGTGTTTATCAGAAGCAAAACATCCGATTAGCACGACCTCTAATCTCCAGTTTGCTCATAACATGTTTGGAGGGAGATTAATCTGCCAACGCAGGAACATTATGATTAATGTGTTTGATTTTTGGAGTGTTTGGGTTACATAGCGCACCAATATGGTGCCGCTCATCATCACTGAACTCACAGAAACAATTCAACCTGTGAACTGTGGCTCAGAACTTTGTTTTTAAAGAGGCTGATGCTCTTCTGTAAAGCTGGCACAGTTTGAAGCACCGAATAGCATCAGATAGCCCTCCCAGTGCAGTGTGGGTGTATTTGCTGCTTTTATTGGTCAGTTTTATGTCAGCACAGACTGGAGACGTGGAGAGAAGGCAAGCGGTGACCATACCCTGCCACTTACTTTTATGGCTTTATTAGCAGTTGGCTCCTGCTATTGTGGTTCATCCTTGCAGTTATTTTATTACTTCAATACTCAAAGCTGTTGTCTCTGCAAACAGCTGTGTGGCAGTTTAAGCGACAGCTCGCAGTAATGACTTCAGTTGAGGGTAAATTCCACCTGTCTGATGCCACTTTGACGCACAACAAACTGACCTGTCAGCATCCACCAAGCTGCCAGTGACCCATTTACAGTTTAGGGGTTGGTTCACATCCACTCCTTTGTATGTAATGTGTTTATCCAAGTGGAATGGCTCATAACAATGGGTATGAAACTTAATTTGAAAAGTAAAAACCTCTAATTTCTGAAAATGTATTTGTTTGAAATTATCTTGGGACCTGTCGGATATTAAAGGGACATTTCACCCATAAATGTACATATGGGTGAGACCCCTCTGGCCTGTGATGCTATTCATCTGTTTTAGTGTGAGCTGTCAACAGCAGCAACATTTATTTCCTGAAATCATGATTCAGTCCTCAAAAGAAAAAATTATTAAGAAAAACAACCTGTGACAATTGACTGTATATAAAAGATGGACGAGGCGTACAGCTGTGAAAAATAAAGGTTATGTGGAAGTAAATTACAGAACTGGTTGTTTAAAGGTCCAAAGGGAAAAAAAGGTCAATTCATTTTATTTTTGCACCACCAAATCACAACAACAGTCGCTTCGAGCTGCTTTATATTGTAAGATAAAGACTAAAACATTACAAATAAAAGCCAACAATTAAACAACCCACACTGAGCGAGCACTTGGTGACAGTGGGAAGGAAAAACTCCCTTTTTAAAAGGAACCGGCAGTTGATGTCTTTCTGGGTTCAGTCTCTAGTTTCAGGTCTTATTGAACACAGCTTGATATTCAGTTTGTACATTACAGTACCCATTAGAGTCTAACAGGAGACAGCTCATTGGCTAATGATGTATTAATCACAAAAGGTTTTTTTTTTTAAATATTTTTGAGTAACAAAGTCATGATTTCTGGAAACAGACATTAGATGGGAGGGTTTAAAAAAGCATTTCTATATATTCCTCTATATGTAAGAAAAAGCAGACAGAATTGACCAAATTTGGCATCTCACACAAAAACAAACAATGATAGACACCACTATGGCCAGAGGAGTTCAGGAGTGAGCCTTTAAAGCTGGCTCATTGTCATTAAGGACTTGGGCGGTTTAAACCTTATTCCAGATGCACTGGCGCTCTTGTTAGAGATAAAAGGTTAAATGTCATGGCTTTGTGCTTTTTCTTCTTTAGGGCAGGTAGCAATATTTCTCAGGTATACACTGACACGATGTGGACAACCCCCCCAAAAAACAATCGAACAAAAAAAGAAACTAGGCCCTAAAACATTTCCCCCAAACTGCTGCTAGTTTTTTTATTCACTCCTCTTTCTGTTGATGAGCCAAATGTTTCTTGAAAGTGTGTCAATCCTCCTCGTGCCCTGGTTTCTTTGCGCTGGCCGCCTATACGATCCAAGTCCTGTCAAAGTTCCCAAACTGCACGACTTGTGTGCAGAGAATATCCTGGAGGGCAGGAAGCGCATCATTTGTACCCTGGATTTCCTGGACTCGTTTTGAGGACATGTTTGGAAGGAGGGCTGCAGCCAAGCCTGTCTAATTGCAGAGCTGGAGGATAATGCTCCTCGTGGATCTCCAGGGAGGCCATTAGGAGCCCACAGAGCCTTTTGTCAGACCGGAAGGAGTCACACAGCTGGGTGTGTTTCTGACCTGCTGATACCAGTTTTCAAGTGAGAGCCTTCACCAAATGAAGGGATCTATAAATAAGATCCTCCGTAAGAGGAGAGAATCTTGGCCCCAGGACAACATCAGTGGACGGGGTAGACTTTCAC